GCCAAAGACGAGACTCTTTTGGCCGAAATAGCCTCAACCACGTCACATTTCCCCGTGTCCGGCATTGCCATGAGACGATTCAGTCTCAGCCGTTGATGATGGCGTTCATCCGTTGCTGTATGCTCATCGGCACCTCTGACAGAAACCGTCAGCTTGTAGGCTTGAGGGACGTATGGCTGCTATTTGATCATATTCACCACGAATGCAGATCATACGGCCAAATTGTTGCTGAGACGCCCAGACTAACTCATGGTACTCTGTAGGCTCTTCTCAACTCTTGTATCTCAAGTCATGCAACTTTTTTGTTCCGCACTCTATCCTGGGAAAAGACGGAGCGACCAGGAAGAGCCTCTGGGCATGGCAACAAGTTACATCGACGTGCTTCGTAAGGCTGAGTGTCAAAATGGTAAGAAGGTCCTGAGGTGCTTACCACATACATTACCGTAGGCGACGGGGATGATTATGTGACGCAATGGCTTGGTGGGAAATACCGGGGAGGGGGTAAGGGAGACGCCAGACCTCGTGTCTGCAGACGAGGGTGGATGTGCGGTCTGCGTTCTCGTTCGTCGTCCAACGACCAGGGTCGCCGTATTGGTACTGGCGCCGGACCAAGGCGGTGATGGCTGTATTTGCTTTGAAGCATTTGCCTATGCAGATAAGCTGCGCGCCTTTGAGCAGTTGAAGAGGCAAAACCGAACAGCAAAAAGTACGCTACACTTGGAGGTATCTCGCCTCACCGGGAGTTGTCATGTAAGATGCTTGCCCCATTTGGAAAACAGTTCGCACACGGTACGGGAACACTGACTTGCGTCCATGCCGTTGAGGCCGTTACCAGAACTCTTTGAGCTCAATACCGGCCACCACGAAGGAACATGCAGGATAACTCAAATTCATCTGCATGTCCCCATCGCCCCAGATCTCGTTTGCTGGTTCCCGGTAACTAGCTGACACACCACCTGACGTGGTACCCAAATAGCTCCCACCCCTCCCCTTCTGCTGGAGTGGGAACTACCTGGGTCGAGGCATCAGGGCAACTCGTCGCGCACACAACCACTGTACCGGTCTCTTCCACTGACATTCTTCTCCTTCTTTTCTCCTTGTCAAGTCGGGAGAAGGGCCCATCCTCCCGTCCATCTCTTACGCACGCTTACTCACGGGCGCCGTTCGATGACTTAACGAGCAAGGCCAGCCCACCGGATACTAGCGTTGAGAGACAAATGCTTAGCTGAGTCGGGCGAGCAATAATCGTGTCTTCTCGATCCATCGAGGCCATCGAGCAGGATTCTCTCCGGCTTGTGGCTCTCGTGTGGGAGAGTGAGCTCGCCGCGAGGGGAAGAAAGCCGTATCCCGCCTCCTCCTCTCCATATAAGGAGAGCGGCCGGCGGCGGCCCAGAACACATCGAGAAAAGAGGCTCCGGATTTCCCTCATCATGTCCAGCAACCAACAGCGGAGCACCGCCCGAACCGAAAAGACCAGACGGGTGATCACCACTGTCCTGCCCCTTGGAAAACCCAGCAACGCGGAAGCCCGTTGCCCGCTGCGGAGTTCCACTCGTCCCAAAAGCGGAGAGCCGCAACCGTTCCCGCTACCGCTCCGGACCGGTGACAACTTTCCCGTTCCTACCGGAACAGCAATACTGTAGGGCAAAGAGACCGGCTGCTGCTCAAACTGTCAGTGGTCAAATCGAAGCCAGGCAAAAGGGGGGGACGCCAACAACGTTTACGCCAGAGTCGTTGTCACTCCACCGTCGTGATCGTGGCTTGCTCGCCAGCAATACTGCACAGCAAACCAGAGAACCGATAACGAGACAATCAGACGCAAGCGCTTTACATCTCAGTGCTCTTACACGGCCCAATATACCACCGCGTATTACTCGGCATCAACCCGGCCCCAACATACCTTAAACTTCACACCAGAAGCCACACACCACCAAGTCGTTCTGTGGGCTGCCGACTCGACCACCATGTCGGGTCAGTCGAGTGCCTCATCACCCCTTATATCGACCCGGCGCCGCGCCTGTACTGCGTGTCAGCAAGCGAAGCGCCGCTGCGACCAACGGCTTCCCCGGTGCGGCCGGTGCACCCAAAAGGGGTTCGAAGACTGCAACTACCCGTCACTCGAAGCCGCCGTGGCAGCGGCGGACTTCAACTTCTTCACAGACGTCCTAAGCGGCTCCGCGGGCACGCCGACTGACTCCCTTCACAACATCATGCCCGTCCCCGTTGTCCCTGAGACTGACAACTCGTGGGCCCTATACTACAACAACGCCCCGGCGGCCGCGCCAACACCGTCACCTTCTCTTATGGCGCCTACCAGCGACTGCCTATCGCGAGACGCAGTCACGTACTGCAGCGAACAGTTTCGGTCCTATCCTCGGCGGTGGGTAAGCCAGAACGGCGTCGCCCCCTTTATCCACCCGGCGCTCTACCTGCCCACCACGAACGGGGCCGACGGCCTGCCCCCCGTGCTCCAGGACTGTTTCTGCGCGTGCGCGGCGTACGCCGCCAAAAACGACGAGAACGCGGCGCTGGTCCTCGGCGTCGTGGAAGCCAAAGCCACGGCGCTGCTCTACGTCCCCGAGCAGGCGGCGTGGACGTTGCCGCAGCAGGTCGCCTCGTTACAGGCGCTGGTCATGTACCAGATCATGCGCTGGTTCGACGGCGACATCCGCCAGCGCGTCCTCGCGGACTCGGTCGAGCCGTTGCTGGCGACGTGGACGTCGGCTCTCCAAGCCCGCGTCGGGACCGGCGTCTTCTCGGCCGAAGAAGCCATGCCGTCGTCGTCTGCCGTCATGTCGGACTCGCACATCCCGCCGCAGCACCAGCAGCCCTCTTCGTCGGCGGGATCGTACCCGCAACACGACCTCTCGCCGGATCACTCGCGCTCCAATACCCCCGGCGCCCGCCTCACAAAGGAGGAGCTCAACGCCGCCTGGCGGCGATGGCTGATGGCGGAATCGATCCGACGGGTACTCGCCATGGCTCATCTCGTCAGGGCGGTGTACTCTACGGCGAAACAGGGTGGCGGCGGCGGTGGTAGTGGCGGATACGGCAGCAAACTTGGCGGCGCGGGCACAACAGGAGGGCCCGGACAAACACAACAACATCACGCCGGCGGCGGCGGCGGCGGGGGACGAGGTGGTGGTGGTGGCAGCGGTGGCCACCAGCTCCCACATCATCATCACCACCCTCTCGGTCTCGCGGACATGAGCTTCACGGCACAGGCGCGTCTGTGGGCCGCTACCACGGCGGAGCGGTGGAACCGGTCCCGGGAGGGCGATACGGCGTGGTGGGTTGGGCGGATGGACTTTTCGGGCCTGCTGGCGCTGGCGGACCCGAGGGAGGTGGACGAGTTGACCGTCATGATGGGCGTCGTGTTTCGCGGCAAGGATACGATTGAGGATTGGGTTACGCATGGGCCGGGGGGTATGTGAGAGGTGTATATTGCGGGGGTTTCGTATATGCATGAGAAAAAGAAAGAGAAACAGAGACAGATAGAAAGAGGGGGGGCAGGGGAGTTGAGAGAAGTCATACCCTGATATTCTTGCATTGAGTTATACTATGCTGCCATATAGACAGATAGAAGAAGACGAGCACAAGAGGAAAAAGAGGAGGGTTTTTTTTTTTCTACAGATTCCATCGCGAGATAAGCATTTCAAGGCGAGCCTGGCGTTTCTCAAGGGCGGGAATGGGTGGTTAGGAGGCAGAGGGGGGTTGGGGGTCGGTTATTCAAAAAAAGGGGGTGGAAATCCATTTTCATACACCAAACTTCACTCAGCATCTGGCAGCATTAGTTTTTTTCCCTTTAATCCACAAGCATAGCGATGGGACGACGAAGATAGAGAGAGCGTTTATCATAATATCATTTTAGGACATACAATCTGGTTTGGCCATCCCCCCTTTTTCCCGTTGCTATCACCCTCTCTTCAAAACCCGGTGTAATGTGAGCAGGAGAGATGCAGGGCAGAGGGGGGTTGAGGGGAAGGGGGGGGGGTAGCACAGCGACAACGCCTTGTCTATAGATTTTCCGCATTCTACGAGTGTCTTACGATAACGAGGTCCGGTCTAATAATATACCAAACCAAAAAAAAACTTGGAGAGAAAGAGAATGGGAAAGAGAGAGGACGTCAATGTGGTTCAATATACCATTTCAATGATGGTACATGATGCAACGCCTTACATAGAGAGAGGCGCATTCAATATAGAAGGCGAAGAGTATAACCGCCAGATTACTTTCCCTATCTTCTGTCCATACTGCCATAACTTGACGAACAATTAATCAATAGCGTCAGAGCCGAATTGTATATCTTGTGTGTATTGTATTGTGCCATCTCCGTCGGAAGCTCTATCCAGTCCTGGCTGATCGTGTTCGCCAGCAAGCTTGGAGAAAAGTTCCCTGTACGAACGCCCCCCATGACCTTCACAAGTCTCTTCTTATCTGAAGTTACTCGAGCGAGAAGACATCGCTTGCTACCAAAAACATGCACAGTAAAGACAAAGCACAAAAGGCAAAAAGACGTGGGAGGTTCATGTCTGATTCATTAGTCATGATCTATTGTTGCAGGTGCTGTGACTGCAAATGCCTCTGGGACTCTATGTCATCTCTTCTCCTCCTTCTCTGTTTGTCCTCATATCCGCACTTTCATCGGCGGTGACCCTTTTTGTCATTAAGAACCAGAATAGGCAAAAAACCAAGAGGGTGTCATGTGTCATGAAAGAAGGCCGCGCCGTGCCTCCTTTGCCGGCGCAGGTTACGCAGCCAGGCCAGGACCATCTCCTCTCAAAATATAACCGGTGGGCGCAAAGAGCAGTGCAGGTTCGTAACCCAGGGCCAGAAGCCGGTGTTCTCAGTGGTTCCTCACCATGAGGACGTCCACATCTTAGACACTCCGGCTTTTGAACGAAACGCTGCGATGCTTGGTGATGAGCCCCTTATTCCAAGGGGCAAGCTATCCGAAAAGGTGGTGGCAACGAGGTTTCAGTGCTCAAGCCGTGAACGCTTAGCACATCTTGTACTCGCACTGGCCCTCAGCGGCACGAGTGGGGTCCTCGGTCAAGAACTTGTACTCAATCTTGATATCAAGGTCACGACGGTTTCTCTCGTTGGGCTTGACGTGCAAGGTACCCTTGACCTCCTCGTTAGCGTGCATGGTGATCATGTCCTTGAGGTAGAAGACAGTCTGCTTCCAGTGGGTGTACTTGGTGTGGGGGCCGGTAGAGAAGCGGATGGGCTTGTGGGCGGCGGTGAAGTCGATGTCGAACCAGGCAACGAGGGCGTGGATGAAGTCATCGCGGCGGGCAGAGAGGTGGAAGGGGGAGGTGAAGGCGAGGTCGGCAACCTGGCACTTGTAGAGGTCCAGGGTCAGGACAGCTGTGGGTTCAGTAACCACCGCCTTCATCTCGACCGTGTCAACCAGGGGCTCGGCGAGAGCAGTGGACTTGAGGGGGCTGTAGTCAAAGCCGTAGACGTTGTCCCAGACTGTCTTGTGGTCAGCCTCTGTTTGCACAATCCAGCGAAGCTTTGCTGAGGCAGTAGTCGTGTGTGGCACTGTAACTTACATCCAATCTTCTCGTCCTTGTAGTCGCCATCCTCGATACCAGCAACGAAGATGGTGGCCTTGTCGGGGAAGATGAGACCGTCGGGGTTCAGGTAGCGGTCACGGGCGTAGAGGACAGTGTCCAGCATGGACTCGTAGAGAAGGAAGTAGCCCATCCACTCGGAGATGATGATGTCGACCTTGGGGAAGGGGAGCTCGACCTCCTCCATCTTGCCCTGAATCAGGGTGATCTTGTCGGACAATCCGTTGACGGCAACGATCTCGCGGGCCTTGAAGATGATGGTAGACATGTCGACACCGATAACGTGCTTTGCGCCAGCCTTAGCGGCGAACCTGTGCAAAGAATACATTGTTAGCAATCGAGCTTTGTTGAGCTGCACAGTTGTGGCATTTTGTTTGAGACAGCCGAGCGTACGTACATGGACAGAATAGCGGTACCGCAGCCAACATCGAGGACGACCTTGTCCTTGAAGAGGTGCTTGTTCTGAACAATGGCGTTCATGTAGGAGCGGGTGCGGACCTCATCCTTCAACATCTCCTCGTGGATGCCGTGGTGGTCGTAGCTGTGCAGGAGCGCAAATGTTAGCAATGGTTCTGGGGTTTTGCGGTGGACAACTCTGTAGCTCTGCTGTCCAGCTTGCTGCCATACCTCTTGAAGTAGTGCTGCTCAGAGTGCTCCATGCTCTTGAGCTTCTGCTCAGCAGCGTCGACCTCCATATTGTCGCCTCCCATTTTGATTATTGGTGTATGTGAAATCTTCTTTTTGCGATGACTTTTACCGTCGAAGCTCTCTGGGCCGAAGAAGAAGAAGAGACGAGAAGAAGAAAAACAGGTCGGCTTGGGGTATGTGTAGGATGAATCGCCAAATACACTGGAAAGGATGAGGAAGGAAAGAGAATTTCAGGGTGGGAGAGAAAACACGGGCAGAGGTAGTCGCGCGGTGAAGAAGGAAAGGGTCGGCGGGGCAGGCTGGGCACTGGACCGGGGGAAGACTTTCAACACGATCGGGCAGAATGGACCTGACAGAGACTGGAGGGGAAGGAGGGACTGGCAAAAAAAAATAATCAATCCTGATTGCGCCTCGCAATGCCCGTCACCGCCTGCACCCTGCATCGGGCTCAGTCTCCACAACCCACTTTCGGCCAGACCACCTCACCCACCCGAAGTTTTTTTTTTTTCCTCCCTTGGTTTTTTTTCTCTTTTTACCCACCAAATAGGTAGCTTTCAGACTGTTAACACTGGCAGACCCTTACTGCCGGCCCGTTCCTCGCCCCTTGCCAGCGCACTACGTTGATGGAGTTTAAGGTGTGCGGGTCCGAAGAAGCTTTACTTCAGGTGTACATGAGTACAACGAGGGGCAACATTTTCATGCTTCCAGCAAACGAGTTCATCTTGTTAAACACAACAGCTTTAAGCACAAGCTTGACTGGAGTATCATGTAGATTCTTTTACAAGACTAGAGGAGTCAAAAAACAATAGACCAAAAAAAAGCCATCCAACGCCGCGCTATGCCAAGTACCGTCAATCAGAGTGTGCCTCGGTCCTTAACACCACCTCTCGTGTGGTTCTCTCCACTTGACCCCAAGAATATCAAATATCTTCTGCTCGTCCTGGCCCTCAACAAGCTCTCCTTCAGTCAACTTGGCGCGTCCGGTACCTCTCATCACATTCTTATAAAGACCTCTTTGGTTGAGTCGCATTCCCTTCTTCGACGCCAGCAGTCGTATGCTGCGATTGAAGATGTCGTTGCCTGTGAAGTAGATCAGTGCCGCCCCTATTTCGGCTTCTGGCACCACTAGGAAGTCCACACGTCTCCAGACTTTCCGGTACTCTCGGTCGTTAAAGCCTTCAATCTTTGGCAAAACGCAACAGCCGTGCCATTTGCTTCCGTCATTGTCCCTGGATCCCGCGAGCCTGGCGACGAGAAACCTTTGCGCTTCAAGTACCCCGATCAGGTCCCGCAGGAAAGGGATCAGTTCCGATGATGCCATGGTCCCTTTCTTCGTGACGATGAAGTCGATATCCCCACTGCTTTGAGCCCCGCGACGATAGCTGCCTCCAACGATGATTTGAACAGTAGGGTCCAGCTTGGCTGCCTCTGACCTGACTACCGCACTTAACCACTTCATCTCGCGCCTGGGGATGCGCGTGTTGAGGTCTTCATAGTGATCGATACCAATTCGTTGGTTCACAGTCAGCTTTGCTTTTTGCTTGAGGTCATCGAGCGTTCGGAATCCCTGAGCGATGTAATGGCTCGCCTGTGTGCTCCCAACACCGTAGATCTTTAGGAATGTCTGCAGAACCTCATCCATCGGATCCGACTCTGCATTTTCCAGTCGTTTGAGGCGATTGGTAGTTACAATCTCCTCAATCTTGTCTGCCAACCTTTGGCCAACACCAGGCAGTCGAATCGCCTCCTCAGCGGTCGAAATCTTGGCGGGTTGCCGCTTAAGCTGTGTAATGGCTTTTCTGTAGGCAATGGGTCGCCATGTGTCGTTGATACGCTCGTAATAGCTGCACATCTGCTGCAAGATCTCAATTGTGCGGGAGTTGGGGCTGTGCTGGTCGCTTCCTAGAGTGCCCCCTTTATGACACGTGAACTTGTCTTCCCAAGTCATTTCTTTTCGTCCCCTACTTCTTGCGACAGCTCTTTTCTTCCTTTGACGTTCGTCATCCGAGCCTTCACTGCCTGATACGTGTTCATGTAACTGCGGCGATGTTGCAGAAGCATCATCATCGTCGTCATCATGCTCCAGTGGCAGATCTCTAAACTGCTGCAGCTGGGAAATGACGTGTTCAAGCTCATCTTCTGGTGTAGAGGTTGACTTCTCTGCTGTGGCAGGGACATCTTCGTAAGATCCGACATCTTGTCGAAATGCAGCCTCACGTGTAGCCGTTGATTGCATAGCCTCTGTGATATCTCTTAGGACGGAGGGCTCCGCAGTATCGGTCGCATTTCCACTTGTCCTTCCAGAAGACTCCTGACTTCGAGATGGAGTTGACGGCGGTGGAACGTAATCCCACTTTTGGGGATTTGTCTGCCGCTTTTTCAGCGGCAAGTCTCGCACCGTTGTTCCGGTTGAAGGCTGAACAGTCTGAAGTGAAGTCTTGGGTTCCGCCGAGGTTGGCGAAGGTGGCGACTCAGGACAACCAGATACCTGATATTGCTTCTGTTTTGCGTTGAGCAGTGTCTTGAATCTGATACAGTCAAGCGGGAAATCCTCGTTCAGGACGGTGTACGATGACCCCTCGCTTGCCGAACCGAGCACATTCTCGATGCTCTTCCAGTCGAGGCGCCTGTCGACAATGACGTGCGTCGCATTGTCAAGAGATCTGGTCCACTGGGCACCAAACTCTTGCGCTTTCCGAATCCGAATCTTCCTGGCTGGCGCAATGTCATCATTTGGAATGAAGTGGAATCGCAATCCACGAAAGATCTGCTGCGCCTCGGGTAGCACCTTGATGGGCGGCTCTCTCTTTCTTTTCTTCATCGCGGCGATGGATGGCGAGTTATCTACGCGATGCGGCAAAATGTGTCTCGTGAGAGGAAGCGGCGTGGTAGCGCTTCTAGTAAGACTGGCCAACGGCTGAAGTGGTGGTCGAGCCAAGGTTTCTGGAATAGGCGTGTCTTCGATGAAGCTGAGGTCTTCAGTGGAAGGTTCCTTCCTGCCGGGACCCTTGATCTCGGCAAGTGGTGTCCGCTCGATGACTTCCTTCCGTTTTAGTTCTGTGAGAGGCGCTGATGCCGGAGCTGAAGAGGTCCGCCTGGGGCTTACGCGCCGTTGTGGCTGTTGGTGTTCTTGCTGGCGAGGAGGAGAAGGATGAAGGAGAGGCGGCTGCAATTCCAGCTGCGGTCTTTCCCTGAGTGGCTGGCGAAGTTGCGCCGCGGCTTGAAACGCTTTCAATTGTTGTCTTGTGCGTTGCTCGGCCTCGTGAAAATCATCGTCGTCATCCTCGCCATCCTCGCCTCGCCTGCCAATAGATTCAAGCTGGCGAAAGAAACGCGCTTTGTCTCTGAAGGATGTGTTTGCATCGGCCATTGTAGCAACTGTCGTCAAAGAGGCGCACGGGATACTTTTAGCTTCTCGTGAACCAACGTCATGTCGGTGGCGGTACGTCACTGTTGCCTAGGAGTCGTGGAACAATGGCGACGGAGATGGACGGAAAGATAGAGTGATGCCTGAGTGAAGTCGAGAGAGAGCGGCACACACACCAATACGGAATAGGTAGCTTAAAGGTGAGTTGTCATTTGACGACGTTGTGTTAATGGATGGAAGGGATGGATGTCATTCAAGGACGGGACCCATGAATACCTGGAGGTACTCCGTAAGGTGTTGGAAATGGCCAAATCTGGGTGCCCTGTGGGGAAGGATGCCGCATTAGTGCTGTGGCCACCTGCAAGTCATCCAATTAAGGTCGCCCTCAGCAGTGAACACTGACAGTTGCCCCATGTGAGGAACACAACGCAGAAGCATTGGGCGTCTGATAGGCAGAGGGCTACAGGGCCAAAGGGGTATGTGAGTACAATAGACTGCTTCCAAGCGGGTTTGACGCCCGCCAGGTTGCAACCGATCGACCCAAGCACCCAACAAGGGGATTCTGCAGCAAAAGCGGCTTGGCCTTGGTCAGCAGCGCGGGGACCTGCAGGATCCGGTGGGAGCTTCAGGTCATCAGGATTCCTTCCTTGCTTCCAGTTGCCGTAGTGAATTAACCTTCCCAACTCAATCTGAATAGAGTGAACACTACCTGCCTCAAGTACGTCAAACCACGTGTACTCAATACAATACAACAAAGAGACTCAAACCTACCCTTGCGGGCATGACTTAGTAAGTACAATAGATCGCAGCAGCATCGACTTCTTAGCAGCGGGCCAGTGTTTCGTCTATTGAAGTTGAATAAAGAAAAGGTGTTTGTTTAAAATCCTGGTCTGTAGGGCGAAAGAAATTACCCAAAATCGTGACGGGCCGGTCTGGCTTTTTTGACATAATTACAAGGACAGATGCTCGAGAGTACACCGTCTCATTCTTCGCTTCCCATGGTATCATCGTAGCTTTAAATCCAACTAATATATACAATAACATTTTCCTCGTGTCCTCATTCTCCTAGACTGTGGCGTTTCGCTCTGCCACTGTATCGTACAGCTGTCACTCGGCTTTACGGCTCGCCTGGCTCGGCAACTGCAAGCTGAGGCTTCTCCTTAGTTGGACCAGCGACAGTGCCATGAGCTGATTATCGTGTCGTTATGTACAGCGGGGCCGTGTCGAACTAAGAGCGTGTGCAGCATTGGTGCGCCGAGGAAGGGCGATGAGCCGTCAGTGTTGTGTAAAACCCATACTCATCGCGCTTCATTGCGCGTGTCCGAATTGTGAGGGATATTGTGATGACCCGGCAAAGTTGCGGGCATCCATCAAGGGAATGCTGTTGTTCTTCTCCATCGGCTGGAAAGAAGCCATATCGTTGGAGTAGCGGCTAGCAGCCTCGTTGTCCATATCGTTGAGCACCTCTCGAGTGAGCTCGACGTAATCGTAAGCGAACTCGCCAATTTCGGCATCGTCAATACCCAAGATCTCTGCCTCTTCGGTGGCACGGAGACGAAGGCCGGGAATCATGTTCATGATGAAGAGGATAGTGCAAGTGCCGACAAAGGAGTAGGCGCCACCGCTGAAGGAGTCAGCTAACTGATATCCGAGCTGGATCCAGTTGTGGTTGATCCAGCCTCCGTCAATTTCGGAAACGCCATCGAGGTGAGCAATGTAGTTGGCAGCAAAGAAGGCAGTGCAGACATTGCCTACGAGACCGCCAATGCCGTGAACGGCAAAGATGTCGAGAGCGTCGTCGATTCTGAGGATGAACTTGAGCTTAGTCGCGTAGTTGGCGAAAGCCGCACCAAGAATACCAAAGGGAACAGCAGCCCAGACAGGGACGTATCCTGTATCAAGTCAGCTAATCAAGTTTTGCATGTTTCTTTGCTGTGAATTAAACTCACCGGATCCTGGTGTGATGGAGACCAGGCCAGCAACGACACCGGAGCAGAAGCCCACGGTAGACCACTTGCGTTCCAGCCTGTAGTCCAACACGCACCAAGTAATACCGCCGACGCAGGCTGCCAGGTTGGTGACAACAGCGGCAAGAACAGCGCGAAGGTTGGCAGAGAGAGCTGAGCCAGCGTTGAAACCGAACCAGCCGACCCAGAGGAAGACGGTGCCGATAACAATGTGGGTGACATTGTGAGGTCGGTAGTTAAGTTCGTGGGTGCCGTGACCGCGGCGCTTGCCCAACATCATTGAGTAGGCCAGAGCGGCTGTACCAGACGCAATATGGACGGGTGTACCTCCGGCGAAGTCGAGACCACCCATTTTGTTGGACCATCCACTAGGGTTCCACGTCCAGCAAGCAATCGGGTCGTAGATGACTGTCGCCCAGATAAACATGAAGATGACGCAGGGGAGCATGCGGCCACGTTCAGCGACAGCTCCAGTCGCGAGAGCAACGGTGATGCAAGAGAACATGCCCTGGTAGACGGCGAACAGAAGATCGGGGAGGCGGCTTGAGCCAACAGAGGGACGGCCGAGAACGTCCTTGAATCCAAAGTTTGAAAGGTCTCCAATGAATGCACCAGCCGAATGGGAGAAGGTTAGTGAGTAACCCCAGAAGAACCATTGAAAACTGGTGACAGCCGTCGCCATGACGGAAAGCCAAATGAGAGAAAGTGCTGATTTTCTCCTCGCGAGTCCTGAGTAGAAGAAACTAGACGAAACAGTGTCAGTTGGTTGGGTTCCCAAAGCTGTCAGGGTGGAAATTGCCCATACCCGACGCCAGGAATCATAAGCAACACCAGCGCGGTGGCTGTAATCATCCATCCAATGTCACCAGTCTGTGCCTCTTTGTTAGCAGCCGTACCACAGGAAGCATATATCTGCGCTGAGGGTATTTGAAAATGACGTACCTCATACCAAATGTTCAGATCCTCGGTGAGAGAATCTCCTCCTGTGGGACCAGAACCATTGTAGGGTATGAGATGAACATAGTCGAGGTTTTCGAGATCGAGAGGGGATGCCATCGTGACGGTATTGTCGCCGCCGCCGCTATCTTATCGCCGAATCGGCAATTGGAGGGCCTGAGCCTGGACGTAGTCGTAGTCGTCGTGGATGGGAACCGAGAGCAGCACTTCACTAGAAGTTGGCGAGTTGCAGTCGACGGTCGATGATTGTCGTATTAAGAAGCCTGTCGGCTGGCTCCTCGTATGAGCGAAGCCTCGAAAATGAGCGCAAAGGGCTGTCGCAGGGTGATCGGAAAGGACAGCACTGGGTGAGACGACGGGATGAAGCAGTCAGAACGGGCGTGGGATGCGCGAAGCTTATGAATGTGGATGCCCCGGCGCCCCGACTGTCTGCGCAGAGTTGCGTTGCGGGCGGCATGGCGACTAGCCCTGCTTGTGGCGGGCAAGCTAAACGGGTACGGCTGGACTCGCCCGACGCGGCCAAAAAAGCCCATGGTCCAGAGACTCTCCAAGGAGTGCGAGTCTGTGAGAGAAGGAGGCCACAGGCTGCGGCTTGGGACGTCTGGGCCATCCCACGCAGACAGGCCCTGTCCGCCCTGGGCCAAGACCGCCGGCAATGGACTAGGGGGGGTGGCCAGAGTTTTTTCTCGGGGGTGAGGTGAGAGTGGTGTGTGTGGGAGGTCGTGGGAAGCCCTGCGAGAACGAAGCAGGGTTCCAACCAGGGCGAGCCGCGAATAAGGCCAATCGGTACAACTTGGGGTGTGCACTAGGGGGCAAGGCACGGGGGTGGACTCGTGGAGGCTTTGTCGGTTGCGACGCAGATCCATGGATTGTATCCGTACTCTGCAACTCTGTATTTGTACTACGTAGGTTGGTTCTTCTTCTCTTTTCTTGCTGCGTGTTTGTACGGATACGGATGTTTCCTCAATCCTGAAGCCTTTCTCCTGACTCCCTATGAAGCAAGTCAGCGAGCAACCTGAAGCAACGGGAATACGGCAATCGTGCTTGTCCAGTGCAGAATTGCAGGTTGGGAAAAGCAATGAAAGTGGTGCGCGGGAACAAGAGCAAGATCCCATAAGAAACGCCTTGGTAAGCAATTGGGGTTGAGCCAAGGTAGCATCCAGAAACCAGAAGGCTTGGGTTTTGATAAGACCCGACGGCTTCAAGACACAACGGCTTCGATACCATAGAGGACCGGTCACCCGTTTTCGGTCTGGCGTAGTCTACTCCATACGTCCGTCCGTCCTCACTTCCAGACCGGATCGTTGCTGACTTGTCAGACTTGTCATCAGACGACGACGAGGCTTTTCCTGCCTCCTGTGTCTGTGATACTAGTTAGTGCTTCAAGGTTCATCAAATAGTTGGTCTCAAAGTCATCTCTTCCCGTACAGTTGGATGAAAGTCGCAATCGAGAAATGCATGTGCTTCCAATTCATTAATCTGACCACGCCCATCCCCAGGCCCCTGTCCAGTTCAACCAGGGTCGAAATCGCCGCAGTTTGGTTATTGGTGGGGGATGAACGGGGGAGGAGAATCCGCAGAACCACAGGCCATTGTTATCAAAGCAAGGGTCTAGTCGTAGCGTGGATTCAGATAACAGCCACGATTATTGCAGCGCGCTCTACTAACGCAGACGCCAATTGCTGGACCGAGCATTCGTAGTTCTCCTCGCCTTTCAGAAGGTCTTGTGTCGTGTACGCAGGTTGTTTGGGCTAATGCCGGCTCGACCGTTGTAACTTGTACGGTACGGATGGGATGGATACCTACCTACCACTTGGCATCCTAATTATCCTGTAGCTAGGTCTTCGTACCAACACAGCCATAACAAGACCCCTCGCTCGCTGTACCAGTGTTTCCTTCAAACACACGAGACGCTCTGGTCTAAACTTTGCAGAATGTCGTTTCTCCTGGAACTTGGAATCACCGAATTTGCCGTAAGAGAGCCCCTGGCCTAAACAGCACTGACGGCCAGCTCCTGGAAGCCTCATCAAACGCGGTCGGGGCAGGATCCGACGCTGTGTCTGCAGATGCCGGCAGCTCATTGTTTTGCACATCACGGGCTCGGCGGTTGATCATTCAGAGGGACCATCGGCAACCATGGCTCGTTTTGTTGAATCAGCCAGCCGGCACCCGGCAGGCCTCAAGGGCAGGAGGCGGCGAAGCAAACGCAGCAGGGCAACGTGCGTGAACGTGCGAGACACAGCTGATGCTGATGCTAAGCAGGAGGATGGAATGGGCAGAGCAGCGCGTTGTAGCGGCCGCAAGGCATGTCAGACGCGGCCAGGAACAGCCGTCTACGGCCCACGAGCAGCGGATGAACACTACGTTTGCGGGCGACGACGACAACGACGACTTTGCGGCGTGCCGTCACACAGAGTGAGAAATTAGCGGCAAGGTCTTGGTGCAGCGGCCGCTATGGCCGCACAAGATCAAAAGTCGTGGAAAAAGGGAATAAATTCGGATGTTCTTTCTCTTTGGTTGATCTCTCTTTTTTGTTTCGGAAGAATTCCTAGGGAAAGGGATGCTGGTAGGTACCTAACCGGGTCTCAGTTGAAAGTCTTGGCCAAACGCCCGCGAGAGCTTAACGTTTTCTCGCAATAGGAATGAATACCTAGGCTTTAGGCGGTGCCTGACGGGCGTATCCGTAGCCGTGCTGCGTACCGTGAGAGTGCCGTGTCGTGTGTTGCTTGTTGCCCGTTGTTTGAGACGAAGAAGGGCATAGTAGCCGTCATCTCATGTCTCACTGAAACAGACGGGATTTGAGCTGATGATTTCCTGCGGCAGGGCGGGAACTCAAAGTCTGTCCCTCATGCGACGCTGGGGTCGCGAATAGACGGAAGCTGGAAGATTGACTTTTGAGCTGGTTAGAGTTGTTAGCTATTTCATCATGTCATGATTATGAATAGTGTTAGTTATTAAGAAAGATCGTGAAGAAATGACAAGTCTTGGCCTTGTTTTCGCATGTCGGGATGTTTGGTGGAATTCGGACAAGTTTGAGCAACTGTCCGTGGTGCGGCGGGCTGCAAGGTGAAGGTGTAATTGCAGCCAACGTACCTGCCATGTCACGGTGTGTGGTGCCTGCCTCAACATCGACAAAATTCGCAACCAAGAGCTATTCCTTCCCACCTGCCTGGTGGTGGTGATATCAAACACCTAACGCCAGATTGGGAAAGCGAACAAGGATGACAGGCAGTCCCGCCGCTACCATCCTGATGGGAGACCGACAGGCCAGGAGCTGCCCGAGAAAGGCAGCAGATGGCAAGGGCCCGACAGATCAGACTCCTCATCAGAGGCAAGGGCACCGGCCGAAGAGGCCGAGTAACCACATTTTGTCATGATAAGCTATTCGCCCATGATTGGTCGATAAAGCCCTGGTCAGAACAACGGCAGCCTCCCCCGGCCAGGGTCAACTTGCCAAGCACTGCTACTGTGCACTTCTGTGCTACGAATGGAAGCACATAGCGATGCCAGGTGGGGGCGAGGTCTGCATTTCGAACCTTCTTTGCTTTTTATGAACCCCTGCCGTCAATCTCAATCCCATCATCAACTACGGAGTACGTACATCCCTCCTTGTCCACGCAACTTCAACACCTCACCTCCTATCACCGACGCCAGCCTATGAGATGCCTCTACAGGATGCGGTCTTCATCATGTCCCCGTCACCAATTCTGGAGTCCTAAAATATCCAGCCGTCCGTCCATTTCCAATGAATGTCACAGCACCGACTGTCCTTGCCAATTGGCCTCTCTTTGTTATCGAAGCTATATCGAACCAACAGCAAACTGACTTCATATCAATCCCATCATCCTTGCTTGGCAGACTGGTCAATTGCAAAGTTGCACACGCAGAACAGCCACGAAGACGGATCCTCCTTCTGATACTACACCAGGTGTAACTTTTCTCGATCCAGAAATCCTCCGAGGCGCCCACCCTGTGTCGGAACTTGGTACCTACTTCCATCTCTCAATATCGCCGGTGCTTCATCTCGGCCTGCAGGGGCTGTCAGGTCGCCTTACAACCTGTTCCACATAAGCTGGCGTACCGAGTACATACCATCGGCTGCACCAAGCCTCCCGGCCGTTGGTTTGTCAACTTCCGTTGACCGAAACTATGTACGTGGACTACAGTCTGTTCGCACACCTTCCTCGCCTTCCAGAACCGGAATCTCGATCGGCGCTGCATCCTCTTTGCGGCAAGCACTTGGCAATACCACCAACTAGTGGTGCTTTTTATCTAGGAGATTCGTTGTTAGTTGGGCTGCTAAGGCATGGCAATGGAGTTCGAGAAGCATCAGCTCAGAGACCGTGCTCAAATTGAGCTGCCTTATCCCCCACGGTGGCCCTCGTCTATCTTCTCGCCATGAGAGGGAGCTCACACAGCCCACCACCAGGGCACCAGGGTTTGGCCACCACTTCCAGCCCAGATCAAATTGTTCAATTCTTCTCGTCATACAATCAATGACTAGGATATCTATCTCCCCGGATTAAAGGGGTTCCAATACCACCCCCAGGAACCTCCTCCGGCCACCTCGTCACGTCATTCGACCAAAGCTCCTGATCCGCACCAGGAAATCATTATGAGCTCCGCCTACCAAGTGCTTGGCCTAGACCCTCACACCCTCTCTGGCATATGTCTACTGCAGGTGTGTATATCCGTACCTTGACAAGACTAGCGCTTGATTATCTTGTCAGCAATGATATTACCAACGGGGCGTTGCGCCCCCATCTGCAGACTACAAATGTCTTTGGTCGGAGACGACCGCTGAGCATGAGCATGATAACTGTTTACAACACACAGACTGTAATGACAGCTCGGGTTTCTTCATCGACAATGAGCTAGAGGGCACACAGACATTCCACAATCTCCAAAGCAAATACACACTGCCATGCCGTCTAGGGAATTTTGAAAGGGGGGGGGGGGGGGTTCAACGGCATCGACAGTAATTGGATTACGAAGTGTTGACTGGCCAGGAGGTGAAATGAAATCACACGCGTTGCAGATGCGGAAGCTAAGCTCTGTAACACTCGAATCTTGCTCCAAGAGGAAGCTCCTTTTCGCCGTACCATGCGCTCGCAACTTGCTAGCCAGTAGCCACAGCGGTGGTCGCTGCTCGCTCCACAACTTGTGCTGCTATCCTCGGTCTTCACGGCCTCACTGCAAATCACCATGCATGTCCTGATCTTGAGGCAACAGCACATCCTGTTCCGGAGGGGGCCAGCCAGTTATCTCCACAATGAGCCGCCCTACCGCGAGCACCGCCCTTGGTATCGGTCCCGCCCCCAGGCGTAGTGTATCTCCTGGATTCATGGGTGGAACATGCAGCTCGGTTTCCAGTTTATCGAAGCTAACGGAACACGGATATTGTACAATTCTCAGGGTTACGTCTCCCCCGGTCCTGGCGTCAATCTTGTTCGCAACCAACTTCGGATCTGGAACTCTTCACCGTGGGTGAAGGCTGAAGCATGAGGAAGCAATCTCGCCTATCCGTCTAGCTATTCGGGTTTCTTCATGGAGTTACGAGGGCTTGCTTGCCCGAATGTTGTTGAGAGTAAAAGTCCGAGGCTCCGTCGGCGGTTTGCCCAGCCTGACGAGTTGATAACTCATCAAAGCCCAAACGGTTCTCTCAACCATGGACGACGCGGACATCGTGCGCACCTCGAGGGAACTGACGGGAATTAGGATATCGGGCCTGGAGTGACTTGAGCAAAACAGGGCAGACATTGAAACGTCCCTGACCGCACATCTATCGCCAAGAGGGAACCCATCGGATCTCCTCAAGGGCAGTGCCGAACGACTCAGTCAGGGATAGTTGGGGAATTAAAAATTTGAACAGACGATGACTGTTTCATGGGGTTGTGCTCGAAGCCGACCTTCAACTTCCTCGTTTCCTTCTCCAAGGTACTTCTGGCAGTTCATGCTGAAGGCCAACGCATTCCTCCTATGTCTGACGATTGAAGCAGATCACTCCATCTCTACCTCTCCCTCTGAACTCAAATCCGGCTGCAGCGGATAGAGCGGCTTAATCAAGCTGCGTGAGCGCCCTGGTTCGCCCATGATATCGTGCCTCCCTGACGGTTAGGGTGGGTAAGTGACGCCTTGCCTGTCTCCTTTCTGCGCTTGTGCGGACTCGTGCTCTTGCCGTCTGCTTTGCACCGCTGTCATGTTGTTGTTTATCTCTTGAGAAGTACGAGATGTACTCTTGCGACCTGCAAGCACGGGGTGCCTTTGCAGAAAAGGGAGGAGAAGTAGAGACCCAAAGATAAACTTGTCTACGATCAGGTAGATGGTACGTCGTCCGTGTCTGACGTGGAATCACGGCAGTGATCAATCCTGCTACAGTCTACCTTACTCTGTAGATGTTCATTCTACCTTGTTCGCTGCCTACAAAGACATGGAACAATCTCAATCTCTCACAGTATTATACAAGCTTTCTGCCCCAGGCTGCGGAGAGCATCCATCGCAGACACGCTGCAAAGCAACGGGCAGTTAAAGGCCATAGTAGTTGGGGATAACCTGGGTAGCTTAAATCAACATCCTTGAACTAATATCTTACGTCTTGGAAGACGACTGCTATCAATCACGTCTTTTTCTTCTCAAAATACACCCTACTGAAACCCTCTCTGTAATCAAAAGTCGCCCACGTACTTTTTGTTCTTAGCACTCCAGGTCAAATCCCAAACTAACCGATGAGAGACCCCCTAGGCAAAAGCCCCCAGTGACCGCCGCAGGAACACTTCCTCTGCTGCGCCAACACAAAGGTGAAGCCCGGCCGCGAGCCAAAGACGTCCTCCATGACGGCCGAGCACCGCACGCAGCGCCTCCACTGCGCCGTCTTGGCTTCCTCGGCTTCCTTACCGCCGCTGGCGCTGTTGCTGTTGCTGCTACCAGCGGCACCACTGCCCCCGCCGCCTCCAGCACGAGAAGTGGGAGGCGGGCCGACCAGCTCAACGCGTTTGAACACGTCAATGAACCGGCTCTTGGCCTTGCGCGCCGCCAGCGTCCGGCGATCGTCGTCCACCTCGAGGAGGTCGTAGTCTGCAAAGAAGAGCTTGGACGGGTCGGCCAGGCCGCGGTAGGCCCGGAGGTCCGTGTTGAAGAACTTGAGCAGCACGCCGAGGAAGGCGGGCGGCGGCGACGACGCGAGGAGCATGTTGAGCTCGCAGTGCATCTGGGCGGTCTTGATCTGCGCGTCGACGGCCTTTTGCGCGGCTGCGCCGGCGCCGGGCGGGTTCTTGCTCGCGAGGGAGGCGAGGGAGGTCTGGTACGCGGTGCGAATGTCGTTGTTGAGGACGGTCAGGAGGCGGTCGAACTCCTGCACTTTAATCAGGCTGCTCGAGGTGACGCGCTGCATCTTCTGGTAGGCCTTATAGAGGACGACGT